CATTTATTTTATTCAGATAATATTTACCCTTTGCTTATTTAATTTTTAGCATTAGCATCTTTTTATCATTGTAGATTTTATAACCTAAAGCATAAAGTAGATTTTATTTATTTTTCAATTTATATTTTCTAGTGAAGTAAATCTAGAGTATTTTCTTCTCGTAAGTTAAATGAATTCAAAAAGTTAGAGTTATCGACTGATAATGTTCCCTTCCTACATTTTTTTAAATCCATTTTTTAAGCTTGACGAAAGAAAGAAAAAAGAAAAAAGAAAAAAAGTGTAAGGTTTTAGATCAGAATTAGAATAGTTTGTAGGGATTAGAAGATAAGATTTTAATTTTCGTAATACAAAAAATAATTATATATAAAATATATTTACAGTTTCTTATATAACAAGAAAAATAATTATATCTCTCGTATATAACAGCGGAACAGTAAAAATAAACACTTTATATTAACTCTTTTTGCGTTTATTTAAATAAACATCATAACAAAATATATACAACTAAATAAACATATTATATCAAAATATATACAACAGAAAGATAGAAAGAGAAAAACCCTCCTGGATATTTATAAAATTTACATTTTAAGCATGACTATTTTGAGTTTTTAAATTTTAAAGCTCGGACGGGGTTCTTTTTTAAAAATAATTTTAAATGATGTTTTTATAAATTTGATTTCAAATGAAAATATAAGAAACGAATAAATTGTTAAATTATCTTTGTTTGTCAGGAACAGTGATTGCATATAGATTTGGCAAGACCACTGGATTCTTATCATGGTTCGTTTTAGTCGATTCTTATTCAAAAATTGGTAAAGGTATCTCGGAGGATTGCGACTACCAATCAAATTATTAGAAAGTTGAAGAGATGGTCTGCAAGATTTGGGATGCATAGGCTAATTGTTTTCAATAATGGTCCTCAATTCATATAAATAATAATTAAGTCTTTTTTTCAAACAAAAATATTTATTTATATTAAGTCAACACCTTATCATCCTAGGAATGGCCAAGTTGAAAGAACGATTCGCACGCTCAAGGAAAGAATAGAGCTACGCGAGATAGTGGAAGATATTCTGAATAATACTTTAAGATTTTGGATAAATATCGCATGAGTGAACATAGTATAACTAGTCGAAGTCCTGCAAAAATGATGTTAGGCGGGTAGAGAAAAACAAGTTTTAATTAGGTAAGACTGGATGCCAGTAATGAAATAGAAAAGTTGCAAAATCTCCAAAAAATGAATCACGATAGATACGAGATTTTGAAGATTCGCAACCGGTTTGGGTAGAACGGAACTACGTTAAGCTGGCAGAAAGCAGTATCATCACTAAAGGTGGGAGGTACGCAGCGGCTCGAGCCCCTTGAAAATTTGAATAACCCCTTCGAAATTTTTATTTTTTATTTATATCACTAAAAAAAGGTAATCTATATTATAATTTTGAGATGGCCTCATCATGTCCTCTATAAGTCATGTCCTCATTACGTTATATCCTTACTCATCAGGACATTTTTTTAACAATCATATGGAGCTAAAAAAATATTTATTATTTTTAACTTCTTTCAAATTGATATACATAATAAATTTGTTGAATTATGAAAGATTATTTTACAACAAATATAACGAAAAACTGAAAGATCTACGTTAATATTTTTAAAAAATCTATAAATATATATCATATTATATACAAATTTTTTAATATTTAGACAAGAGAAATAATACTACAAGTCAGAGTGGTACAAAAGATCTTCTTTGAAGATTTTTGAGCGAGATCTAGCTCAAAAATTTGCGCAAGATCTTTGAAGATCGTAAAATTTGAAGATCTTTTATTTTTTAAAAATTTTGTGTAACGATCTTCATGATATTTATTTTTTACCCCTTTATTAAAAGCCCAGATGTTTTTCAATTTTCATCAAGGCAGGAGGAGAGGTATAAAACATAAAAGAAATATTATATTAATAAAATTGAAAAACATCTGGGCTTTTAATAAAGGGGTAAAAAAATAAATATCAAGAAGATCTTTGAAGATCCTTACACAATTTTTAAAAAATAAAAGATCTTCAAATTTTACGATCTTCAAAGATCAAGATCTTTTTATTTTGAGCAAATGTACAACTCTGCTACAAGTTATTTTAAACACTCAATAATTTTGCCCCTAGCACACATTTTCTTCATATTCTAACTGACTCTTTAGATTTTTTTTCTCTCATATGAATCCAAAAAAGTATTTATAATTTTTATATTATTTATAAAATCTCTTTTAGATTTATATATTGTATATACAAAGTTCAAAATTAATCTAAGCTTGAATCTTGATAAGTTTTACAACGAATATAAACAAAAACTATATTGAATTAATAAAGATTTTTTTACAACAAATATAAAGAAAAACTATGAAAGATTGAAGTTAATATTTTTAAAATCTATAAATACACAATTTTTTTAGTATTATGACAATAGAAATAATATTACAGGATATTTCAAACATTTAATAATTCCTCCACTATCACAGCTTTTTCATCATTATATATTATTTTAGTATTTAGAGGGAAAGTTATGTTAAAATTTTATGGGATATATTATAAGGAAATATGTAAATTTTTTCCCTTTTTCCCTATTCCATTCGTATTATCTTTTACCTTTTTCGTTAACCTTCCTTTCCCATTTCCCCCTATTCCTTTTTTTTCCCTAATCGTTTTTTTTTGCTTTTATTTTTTCTTATTCTTTTCGCCTTTTCCTTATCTCTCCCTTTCCCTTTCCCTTTTTCTTTTCTTTATCTGCCATAACCCTTTATCCGTCTTTCTTCTCTTCTTTCGCTTTCTCCCTTTCTTTCCATTTCTCCCTTTCTTTCCATTTCTCCCTTTCTTCCATTTCGTCTTTTCCTTTCCCTTTTCTCTCCCTTCTTATTTCCCTTTTTTTACTTTATCTTCTACAGTTCCCTTTTCTTTGTCTTCACCTTTCCAGCTTTTTCTTTCCATTTTATTATTCCTTTCTATTTATCTTTTCCTTCCCCTTTCTTTTTTCTTTGCCCTATCTCCTTTCGTTCCCTTCTTCTTTTCCCACCCCTTCCTCTTTCTTTCCTTTTTTCTTTCCCCTATTCTCTCCATTACCTTTTTTCTTACCATTTTTTACTTCTTCTCTTTCTTTTTCTATTCCACTTCCTTCTTTTCAATTTCCTTTTTTTACTTTGAAAGTATAGTTAAAAGTATCGTAGAAAGAATATATTTAATTCACTTTATTAATTTATAAAAATCATCAAAAAATTGACACAAAAAGAATCATAATATCTTAACAAAAAAAATATACTAGCTTATTAATTTATAAAATAATTTTTTCCTTTTAAATTTCAAAACTTTAAAAATGAATTAAAAATATATCTCGAAAAATATATATTATAATTATTTTTTTCTTCTTTACATATAATAATAATAATTATTCCCCAATCAGATGTATACAATCCATCTGATTGACGTTTAACAAAATTAAATGGGAATACACGCTTTTAATACCTAACATACTAGGACACTTACTTTTTCTTTTCTTTTCCTTTACTCATTCTTTTCATTTCTTTATTTTTAAAATCCAAATATAACAAAAAAACATTTTGTTGGAAGCAAATATGTGTATAAAAAATAACAAATATTCCTTGTATTTTAGGATATATTCCCTAGATCATTTGCTATCTAATGCATTTATTTCCACGAGTTAAAAAATATTTAAACAAGATATTCACATCTCAACGAAAAGAATTACCTAATAAGGCAATGTACTTGATATTAACTCTGCATGTTTATTTTATTTAATGTTTTATCTTTAATTTTTTAGGCCAACTCTATCGTAAATAAGGTTAGTGACTATATAGTTATAATATCGTCTGACATTAACTTATCTATAATTTTAAATTTATAATTTATTTAAAATTTGATTTCTTTATTTTTATAGGTTAGCCCAGGATACATGGTATGCTATATTTATTATTTAAATATTATTCTATATTTATTCTTAAGGCTCCTACCTTATAAAAAGCGTGCCAAAATGGTCTTCCAAACAATATTCATATTTATTGGCATATACTTTTTATTTTGCATAATGTTAGTAAATATTTGTATAATTTTTATTTCTCATCGTTTTACTCAATAAGGTTATCTACTGAAAATATATCCATTTATATTATGGCTATTCATAATAATATTTTTTTAATATACTATTTTATATATTTGTTTTGTTTGAACTCTGAAATCTCTTGATTTATTTGTGATTCCCAGGCTACACTTCCCACTGGCCGAGTCTGGATTAGTACGTAGCCATCGTTTGGGACAATGTTAGCTTAAAAGTAAAAAGGAGGTAATTTTGAATAATATTCGCTAAAAAAAAGGTAATTTTAGATAATGCTTGATAAAAAAAGAGAGTATTGTGAAAATAATTAAAAATAATCTTTGAATGTTCTTTGAGCCCTAAGATTTAACGGAGAGTGACGCCCCTGGCAGTAAGGAATGATTGACAAAAGTTCTAATTATTTATATATTGTTGATAAGGTGTAGAGAACTTTATGAAACATGCTGATCAGTCGTGGAACAAGTGGTGTTAGCGCAATTTGATAAAATTCGAAACTATTGATTTTAATAGTAATAAAAGATTAGAATTTTCAAAAGATTTATTGATGAATGATTTAAATTAATTTTGGGGAAATAAAATATATAGCATTTATATGTATATTATTATTTTAAAATTATAACATTCTATTTTTATTATCATGTAAATAAAAATGTTAGGTTTGAAATTTTATATTATATATGTATTATGACAAATAAAAAAGTAATTGAATACAAAATATGGAGGATAACGATTTTGAAGATTAAATTGGAAATTGAAAATCATCTGCTTTAAAATTTTAACATAAGATGGGTAATATAAGATTATGACAATCACGTGATTCATGGTCATGTCAGCTTAGACAGGCCACATAAACCCTAACAGAATGGCAATCTTCAATTTGGAAAACGGTTTATTATTTTATCATGTTTTTCAAAAAATTTAAAATATTCCTTCTCGTGATTTTTTTAATTGTGATATGCACGTTTTATTCTAATTGGAATATTTTTAAACAATATGCTAAAATTACTGGTGAACTTATGAAACATAATATATTTTTAGGTAAATTTAAACCTTTTTAATATATATTTAGTTTAATATAATTTTACGTGAAAGTGATTGATCACAAAATTTAATCTTATAATGATTTATTTAGGGATTTGGACATTTTACTTTAGGCAATTGCTCTATTTTGATGTTAATTTAACATTATTAATTTTTTTTAAAAATATGTTTTAGTTAACCACATTATGCTTCTAAATTCAGCATTATTTAAAAGATTATAAAATAATTTATGAAGCTTTGTAAATTGAGGTAGGATTTTGCAAATTGTTTAAACAAAATGCTTAAATTTTAAAGTAATTTCAGTTTAAAATATGTTTTCATTATAGACCTTCATGGGACTAGATTTTTTGATCAGACCCAGCCCAGGCTTACACAAAATTTTTATAGACTAGGCCCATATTTACTATTTAAAAAATTCCTAACCATAATAAGTTTCAAAAATTTAATTTATATATAAACAATTTCTCAGTGTATTTAGTAAATAATTTTGTTTGCAATACTGAAATTTATTTATTAGAAAACAAAAATTATTATATTTTTTTAGCAACTGTTTTAATTTTAAATGAAAAATTTAGGTCCTAGCCCATTAAAATTTCAAAAACCTACACTCACTAGAAGTTATTATATTAGGCCCATGAAGGTCTTTGGTTTTTATTTAAAGCAATATTTAAATTGTTTTTTATATACATTCATACATTAATTTGTTATTATTATTAAATTAACCATTTTTTATAATAAATTTAAAAATTACAAATTGGAATTTTTATTAAGCACATATGGGTTTGGTTCAGGTAAATATTATTTTATTTTAATCATATTTATTTACAGATATAACTTACATTAAAGAAATTAAGCTTAAAATCAGCCATCACCCACCTTTTAAGTAATTAAATTATACTGTAGTTCTCGGGTATAGGTTTTTTCTTTGTCCCACTCCTTCTAAATTAAAGCCTATAGAGGTTTAAGCAACATTTTTCGAAATGTTGTGCCTACAAGTACGTGTGGCTTGCCCACAAACGTGTGGAGGGCTCCTCATATTTTTATTTTTATACCCAAATTAAATTGTTCCAATTAGATGGAAATGAGGAAAACCTAGCGTAGCTCTGTTGAATCTTCAACGTTAGAGGGCAAAAGTGCTATATATCACGTATCAGTAATATTTAAAATTATAAATAAATCAAAAACTTATATGGGATTTAATATATCTTAGAATCAATTTCATTAATAGAATTGTTATAATTTGATACATAGCATTTAAAATACATTATTTACAGAGTTGTTCAAGTATCTAGATGCAAAAATGTGGTATTTGTATCTAGATCAGGGTTACCAGGTCAAAATTTCATTATGCGGGAGAAATTTAAAAATTGTGGTAGAAATATAGAAATTGCTAGGCCTTCGGTTGGGATTTTGAATTGACTTAATTATCCGCCTATTATTTTTTATAATTAGTTTATATAAATACAAGTTCGGTAACTATTTTTCAAAATAAAATAACATCTTGATTTATTAAAATATATTAATTTATAAAAAAAAATAATCTTTTTTAAATATTAAAGAATGTAAACAAGATAAAATTTTATAAAAAAAACGATTTTAATTTTACAATTAAAAATATATTTTATGCAAATGTCCCGCAAAAAGACCGCAATTGGACTACCATTTGTGTGTATAACATTATAGGGACAGGCGCTTAATTATCACGTATCACTTAATTACATAATAAGGTACTCCAAAAATAAGAAATAAAATAGATGCAACTACAGTTGCCCAATTGTAATCACTTATCTTGTAATACAACATTCACAGAGATACTTATCATCACAATGTTGGTAGAATCTTTTTCCCATAATATTTAACGACTCTAATATAAATGTAAACTATACTTGTAGAACAAAAATGAGCAAGGCTATCATCAATGTTTTAGGGCCTAAATCCAGGAGGTCAATTGATGATTTGAAAGATGGGCATACATAGCAATTCTAACAGATGCATCTAATAAGGGAAATATTATCCTCCACTATTTTAACAAAATTAAAGATGTTTCAAGAAAACTATTAAATTTTTTCCCCTCAAATAGTGAAAAATCCAAAGACCTAGCTAACCATATAATGGTAAATATAGCAGATTCGGATTATCAATAAATTGCATGTCAGCTTTCAGATATGATAATGCCTCAGTGAATTTGGAAAAAACCAGAGTGTATTTACAGAATTGAGTCAGCACAATGTTGGTTGCAATATGTTCCACCATTGATAGAATTTTAAAATTATATAAACCTTTAAATAAATATTTCTTAAATAAAAATTGTAAAAGCTGTCCTAACATTTTGAAAATATTTTTCAATAATGAATGGCGGAGATATATTTAGAAATGATTTCACATATAGGAAATCTACTACATGCTGTTAATGTGTAGTTGCAATCAGAAAAATCTTAACAAAGATTCACAAAATTATGCTGCAGATGTGTTCATCTTTACAGTTAAAAATTGACAATAAATTTTATGGCCCCATTGCTAAAACATAATTAATTTTATTTGATATTTAAATAATAGAAATAAATATTTACCGTCGTTATTGAGATATTTATAAAATTCCTGGCATGACATATATATTTGTTTAATCATTAGCTCGGCCTCTAATGTTGTTAAAGCAATCCGATTTCTCTCCTTTTTCAATGCAGTCCTCATCAGGCTAAAAATGTGTTCGGATGAGGCATTAGAATGAAGTAAGGTGAAGACATACTAGCATATTTTTTCCAAGCAAGGGGATTTATCGTTATTACGAAATTTTTTTACCCATTTCTCCTCTGCTTTTAGACCATCTAACTTTAAGTATATATATCGCAACACCTCTCACCATTCCAAGTTAGACCACTTCACCAACACTTTTAATTCATTAACTCTTTTAGTTGATGAACTAAATTCGTTAAAACATTTCATCATAATTATTTCGACATCCACAGATAGTTCATTCATTGCCTTCTTGCAAGAATTATGCAGTATATGGCATATACAGTCAATTGGTATTAATTCATTATTGTGCTGCCTCAATTCGGTAACTTTGGTTTTTGCTAAAATTTACAGAGGCATTATCAGTGCAGAAAGCTGACATGCAAATCATTGATAACATTGAATCAGCTATATTTACCATTATGTGGCTAGCTACATCGTTGGATTTTTCACTATCCGAGGAAAAAAAATTTAACAGTTTTATTGAGACTTTATTCTTATTGAAATAGCTAATCAAGGGAAATGTTATAATATTTCCCTTATTAGATGAATCTGTTAGAATTGCATATGGGTGTGCCCATTTTTTAAATCGCCTACCATTGACCTCTTGGATTTAGATCCTAAAACATTTGTGATAGCCTTGCTCATTTTTGTTCTACCACAAGTAAGGTTTGCACTTATATTGGAGTCGTTAAATATCATGAAAAAAAGATTCGACCCACATTGTGATGATATAGCTCTGTGAATGTGGAACTACATCATAGATGTATACGATTTCCTCAAATGTAGTTGCATCTGTATTATTTTGAGAATATCTTTGTATTGCAATCGATGTTGATATACTCCCCTGTACTGACTTATATGAATGAAATGATGTTGATTTATTATTAGATAAAAATAAAATAGGAAAGAAATTTACAAACTAGACATGTTTTTCAAATAAATATTTAAAATTTATTTTAAAAATATAAAAATAATCAATTAATGACTCTCAAAATTATTATTTATAAAAAACGTTAAAATACTTTTAAAAAAAATTGTGGGAGAAATTAAAAAATTGCGGTTGATTTTTGCGGGAGATTTCCAATTGCAGTAGTTTTGTGGGAGAGAATTGTCTGCGTGTAAACTAAAAAATTGTGGGAGTCTCCCGCTGATCAATCCTGATCTAGATATGTCTTTAAAAAGTATTTATATATGCATACTATTTAGATTTATCTTTAGATACAATTTGATATAATTTTATTTTATGTATTTTTATATAAATAATAATATTTGAATTAAATTCATTCAATAATAAATATATTTCATCACAAAGACAAATAAGATAACATTTATTTTATGCTATGGATGATGACAACATGGTAAATTTTATATTATAATTTTTATATAAGAAATCCTTGGAAAGAAATCAAATAATTTAATATTAGATTTTTGGGTGTATCCTTAGATGATATAAATCAGAGACCTTCAGGCTTACCCCAGGTATTTAGGCTGAACCATATATATTTTTAAATATATAGGTCCTGGTCCTAATTTTTTTTTAAAAAACCCAGGCCGGGCTGAATAATAAATAAAATATATTTAAAAATTGTATATCTTAGAACAAACATTATATCACATTGATTCACTTATCATATTTCCTATTTTCCTTTTTTTATCCTTATAAAATATTTATAGTAAAATATTATTCAAATTAATTATTTTAGGTGATATTCAATCATTTATAAAACAACAACATAAAGGGAATGTAAATTTAATACTCTCAATATTAAAAATATTATGCACTTTTTAAGGAAAAAATTTATTTTGTATAAATATCATTTTATCTCTTTTTCCCTCTCCCAAATTCAGGCAATTATATATGATGCCAGGGAGAGAGCACAAAATAATTTATATGATGGAAATGAGGGAATTCATCAATCAGTCGAATTGAAAGTGTGATGATTTAAACTCACTCCTTTATGACAAATAAAGTGATAAGATAATTAGAAGATATTATATATGGATTTCATATTCGCTGAAAAACTATCTAAAATACTCAATGTGTATATTTTTTTAATCCAAGGCTATAAAAAAAATTTACTATTCTGAGTTTCATTTTTTTTTAAAAATCCAAGCCAGGTCTGACCAAAATTTTTTTAAACAAAAAAGATTCAGGCTTGGCTAGACCTGAAAATATAAAACCTGGACTGGGACATGCAATTTTACTGCAGGTCTCTAATATAAATATTGATATAAGTTTTGACATTCATCAAATTTTGAAT